TATCTTGTTCTGAAAATAAAAATTGTACGTAACATGACAAATGTGTACAAAAATTTAATTAGTGAATACTTACTCGTTTGGAGCTTTGTCTCTTTCGGACTCTTGAATTGCTATTATTAATAGTTGATTTAATTCAAAATCACTCTTTGTGTAGTGATAATTTAAATGCTTTTTTATAACACGAAATAATATAGTGTGTTTAAAAGTATGAGTCCATTTACATTCATTTCTTTGACATGCTACAATAAATTCTATATCATAAAATCGATCTGCTCTCGTAATAAAATTTACGACTGGCTCCATCGTATCTTGTTCTGAAAATAAAAATTGTACGTAACATGACAAATGTGTACAAAAATTTTAATTAGTGAATACTTACTCGTTTGGAGCTTTGTCTCTTTCGGACTCTTGAATTGCTATTATTAATAGTTGATTTAATTCAAAATCACTCTTTGTGTAGTGATAATTTAAATGCTTTTTTATAACACGAAATAATATAGTGTGTTTAAAAGTATGAGTCCATTTACATTCATTTCTTTGACATGCTACAATAAATTCTATATCATAAATCGATCTGCTCTCGTAATAAAATTTACGACTGGCTCCATCGTATCTTGTTCCGAAAATAAAAATTGGAACGTATAAATCGAACGTAAGGGAAGAGTCATCGAAGCGTAAACGAAACTTCTAGGAGGCGAAAATTTGAACAGCGAAGGGTAAAAGAAGCGTTAACGCTTCCTTTACATTCCGCTGTTATCAATCGTTTGTATAAAATATATTTATGTGTATTATGTTTGTATAAAATATATATTAACGAAAAATAAATGCACCTAGATAACTTCATAACTGGTGTTCTGATTTCTCTTGAACAGCACTTGCGTGACACCATCTCACGCGAAGTTACCTTGTAATTCTGATGTTGTTTCAATTAGCGCGATAAGCACACGTCGACACGGAACGCAGTGACATATCGTGCGAGTGAACAAAAGCGTATCCGCCATTTCGGAACAAGTCGTAGCTACGTCAAAAGAATTCACGTTAGGTGAATTCTCAAGTGACAATGGCAATTCGGTGGAAACAGAGGTGGCGGAGAAGATGGACACCACCGATACGGTCGCTGATGTAATTATGAATTCCAGGGATCCCGTTATGAATATCAAAATTACCAATGTTACGTCCTTGCCGCCCGAAATGTTCGAAAGCGTGCCCGACGTTGTATGCAATGACGATACATCACGTACGAAAACCCTCGATATGCCCAGGCAGAAACGCGAGATCGGATAGACGTCTATTAGACGTTTGCAGGCTATGTACGTACACGAAATTAAATAAAATTTTGTATATAAATTACATAATAATAATAATAGTTTTCTGATTGTCTTTTTTTATATTTATGAATTTTTATAGTTTCTTTTTTTCTGTGGGACATAGTGTGTAAATAAAATAATTTATTTGATGAATTGGAAAAAGGCTCACACAATTAGAATATATTTAGAAATTTAATTACAATTCATTAAAATAAGAAAAAATTGATATTGTGAACAATAAAGTCAATGTTCGGCCTGACAGCTCTCTAAGTTTAAAAATAGTGCTAGATTTCGTGCGACGCCTATTCGGAAGATGGAAATGTCTTGAAATTTCGAATCGTCGCCGTGAGCCTTGATCAAAATGAAACAAGAATATTTTCTATGTTGTCGCTCCATCCACATTCGTCCATTTCGTTTACAGAAAAAACAGTATCATAATATAAAAGAGCTTTTCTCTGCAAAGTTGTATGACGTGTCACGGAGTATGAATATTTGCCAATCTTATTAAGAATTACGATTCTTCAATGTCTCTCGTCAAATAGCTGTCAACAGGGTTTTGGAAAACAGCTGTTGATTCTGAATTACTTAGAATCCTGGAAAATAATTTATTTTTAACATTTTTTTTAACGTTAACTTATATTTTAAAATTATATTTTAATTTATACTTACGTCTCATCTTCGACCGGGAGCGTTAAACGTTCTGCATTTTGTCGATTAACGTTTAATCTCAAAACCTGTGTATTCTGGTTGAATGATTCACGGAGTACACTTGATTCTTGAGCTGTATTAAAATTAGATATAATATTATTAAAAATATATACAAGAGAGATATATAATTAAAAAATCGATATCACATATACATACTTATCTCTTCATATAAATTTGATTAACTCTTCTCTTTACATCTATAGTATATCTTCGTGCCTGTCTACTAACATATCTATATGTCCTGCCGTTGTATACAGTGGTCTGTAAATAAGATAAATAATTATTTATTATTGAATCT